TATTATATCAACTTTATTATTATCTCCCTTAGTCAGAAGCTAACATTTCCATTACATTTTTAATGAATTTTAATGATTCTGTGAACTGCTAGAATGTCTCTTCCTGAAATGGACCTTCGTGAAAATTTATTGAAGAAGAAAAAAGAATGTCTAGTCTATAAAATGCTGACTCTGTACTGACACTAAAAATCATGATGATAAAGCTTTTACCTTCTAGTGACAATTGACCAACCTTTTAGTATCTTAAGAGAAGAAGATACAAACTGAGCAAAATTTAAAACCTGGTAATTCAGTTCACATTCATCTTCCTTGGGTCCCCCAAAATTTCCATGATAGCTTCCCAAAGCTAGTCCTCAAGAATATTGTATACTGCAAGGAAAGAGAAGGAAGCCAAACAGGCCTGCAGGCTTCAGAAACAGAGGTATTATGAGAACAACACTGCCACAACTCCCAGGCACCTTCTTTCTTTCCCTCCCTTCTTTTTCTTCTAAGTCTCGTCTTGACCACGTGATACAAGCTAAAGCAGTAATTTTAAAGACTTGTTAAAAATATAGGAAAGTTGATCAATAGAACAAATTGAACAAGACAAATAAAAGACAGAGCTTTATGCACTGCCTAGCTCATAGTAGGTATTTAATAATTATTGACTGTTTATTTGTTTTTCAGCCATTTTTCAGTTATGTCTGACCCTTTGTGACCCCTTTTGGTTTTTCTTGGCAAAGTACTAGAGTGGTTTGCTGTTTCCTTCTCCAGCTCATTTTATAGATGAGGAAACTGAGGCAAAGAGGGTTAAGTGAGTTGCCCAAGGTCACATGGCTAGTAAGTGTCTGGAAACAGATTTGAACTCAGGAAGATGAATCTTCCTGATTCCAGGCCTGGCACTCTATCCACCGTGCCACCTAGCAGACTGTTTATTAACTAGATGCAATTGTGGATTGTGGTATAGCGTTCAATAAATCCAGAAGCACTAAATACTGGAGGTAAGGATTCTATTTGATTAAATATTCCTGGGAAAACTAGAAAGCAGTATGGAAAAAAATTAGATCATATGCTATAAAAACCTCCACATAAAAATAAATCCTCAATATAAAAGATCATTTTTAAAGTTGAAGGGCAAAAAGGAGAGATACCTTACACAAGTATGGCAGTGATCATAAATACAAAATTTGTTATAAAAGAAAGCTTCTACCTGAGAGAGTGTCTTGCTAGGCAGTGATAGAAATGGAAAGAAAGAGCAAAATATTCTAAATGTCATAGAGAAGGGAGGCAAGGTGTAGAAGGGTTCAAAATAGAGTTATTTGTTATTAACTACTTCAACTTTAAAGCACTCTTTAAAAAGATGGGTTGCCAACTCTAGAAATTCTTGACAGATGTAAAGAACAAGTTACCTTAGGAACTGAATTGGTTCATAGTTTTCATGAAAGATAGTGCCAAACAAAACTGTACTCTTTAGGTTTCCATGTCATTTTTATTTGTTTTCTATCAGAGCTATTAAATGGCAGGAACAATTAGTAGGAACATGTAAATTTTGATTTGCAGTCGTTTCTGGTTCCCCAAATCTGTAAACACATTGCATAGTGTTTGCTTTTGATTGGAACTGTCAGTCTTTCATGAGATGGTGGGGAAATCTATTGCATGACTGGTAATATAGTGTTAGAGTGATTTGTGTAGTTGCAACTCTGTTTTTACAAGAACAGTTATAGTGCATCATAATATATCAGTATTATAGCTCAGTCTAAAGCCCTCGGCTATCAAGCATTCTCCTCTTGCCTTGATGTAGTCAAGGATTAAGGCAGATGTAAGAGTGCTTCTGAAGGAGCAGGTATTTTATGATTTCCATCATTATGTCAGCAAAAGTTAGTCATGGATCTATTGGCATTCTAAAGTAATCTCGTCTTTAACAAAATATTATGGACTATTCCAATAATGGGCAAGTCACTCTTTAAATGAGCAAAATCCATAGGAACTATCATCTTTTTTTTTCTCCAAAAAGTCTCCTACATCAGGAAATCTTTCTCTAGAAGGTCTGGGATCTAACTTATTGAACTCAAGAACTCTTAAGCTTAGCACTACCCACAGGAAATTTCTAAGTCTAGTGCTGCCTAGGAAATCTCCCTTCTCTGTGAAAACTGGAGTGTGAGATCATGTAATCTAGAGAAGCCAAAGTCTTATCTTCCTCTATAAAAGATGTAAAGGTTCAGGCATAATGTACTTGAACACATCTCTCAGATTGTGTGCTGAGGCATATGGCTGTGGGACCCAACCCAGGTGACTTTTTCTTTGATTCACCATTACTACTTATGATGGTAAGGCATGAAAATGAAATCCTCCAGCTTCTATCAACCAATCAACAGAAGTTCCTGTATCCCAACAGTTAAATTGAGGAACTCTTAAATTTGATCAAGAATTAACAATGAGACATTCTTTATAATCAACAATCACCAGACATTTTACTAAATACCTACTATCTTCTAGACACTGTGCTGAACAGCCTCTTCCCTCAAAGAACTTAATGGACGTAGCCCTGCCAAAAATACAGATTGTTGGAGACAGAATACATATGTAAATATAAAACAAAATAAATACCTAAAAAAAAAAGAATTTTTGATGGTGGTTGTGTTAGAGGACTTAGAACTTGGAGGGTCAGAAAGACTACATACTAAGAATAGACCTAGAGCTGAACTTTGAAGGAAAGCATGAATTTTGAAAGGCAGAGGTGAGAAGTTAGTGCATTCCAGGAATGATGAATAATCTGTGCATGTGCCTAGGAACAGGAAAAGAAGTGTCATGTGTGAGGAAGAGCAAAAGGGCCAGAAAAATAGAATGTATGAAGGAAAACAAGGTATAATAAGATTCTAAAGGTAGGCTTAAGTCAGATTGTGAAAATTTATTGAGAAGCACCTCAAATTAATCAGGAACTCTCTTGAATCAGATTCCCTTGTAGGAGAAACTGGAGGTATTTATCCTATAGAAGAGAATGCTTATGGGTACATGATGTTAGGGTTAGCTCTCTCACATGATAGATAGATTAGCTTGTTCTTTTTGGCTACAGAGAGATCTAGGACCGAACTGGTAGATATTATTGGGAAATAAATTTTTGTCTTAATATGTGGAAGAACTTCCTAACAATCACAGCTGTCTGGAAATGAAATGGTATGTCTCATGAGATATTGAGTTCCTTGTCACTAGAAGTGTACATGGGGAGGCAGGATGATCACTTGACAAGAATTTGTGGATAAGGATTGAAGCATTCCTATGGATTGGGCTCAGTGATTTATAAGGTCTCTTCCAGCTCTAAGATTTTAGGATTCTATGAACTGCAGATTGAACTACTGTGATGCTTTGGAAGGACCAGCATCAAAGATAAGGGTTTAAATTTCCGTCTCATTCACAGCAAAGTTGGGTATAGAATCAGGGTACAATGAATTATCTTCATTTTTTTTGTGGGGACTCTGAGGAGCTGGCACTTAGCATTTGACAGTCCTCAGGTTTTTATCCTGGGGAAAGGACAATCAAAAACTTTGTTAATTAAAGATACCAGACTTTGGAATTTGACTCCCAGAGCATCAGATGAGCTAGGGAACACAGCGTACAGAGGGAGATGCAAAGCTCATATTGCTTCATGTTGGCCTTCACTGACCTGGAATGAGTCATATTGGTATCCTTGGCTTGTTACCAAGGGGAAAAGATAATATTCTGTTTCTCAGTTATATTATTTTGGGCTAAAAGACCTCCACTGTCCAATGACCTTGGGACTTTGGTGCATGGTACCATGTAAATAGTGAGATAAAGAATAAAAAGAAAAAATTGTGGTTTCTTTTTTTCCCCTGAGATCCTAAATTTCTGCTTCAAAAGTATTGTTGCAAGTTTAAGGTTCCCAAGAAAATGCATGTCTTTAGCTGGTTTTCTGAAGAAAGTAAGTGTGCCAATGAAGTTGCTCAAGCATGTTGCTCAACAGGAAAAATCAGGATGGTAGAAAATCTTTGGCAGAGTGAGTTGGTACCTTATTTTCAATGCCTAATAGATCTTGTGGTTTGGAAACTTCAAAAAGTGGACTGAAACATTATACAAAGGTCTTAGAGATTAAGGTTCTGAATAATGCAATATCAACATTTTTTTTCTCGTACTGGGGTCTGAAGTAACAGGCATAATGATAATAAAAGTCAATGTTTATACAGCACTTTCCTCCCAACAAACCTGTGAGCTTGGTAGGCCATGTTTTATTATTCTCATTTTACTGATGAGAAAAATGAGGTTGAGAGAGCAGAGCAAATTTGCTCTGGGAAACAAAGCTTTTAAGTGTCTGAATCAGATTTTGAACCCATGCTTTCTGATTCTGAGTCCTGCACTGAGTATTGAGGACCAGACCCTACTGCCTCAGTTAGCTAGCTTCCTCTTTGTGGCCCATTCAAAGACGAATAGATTTGGAACTGCAAGAGACCTTAAAGGTTATCTAGTCCAACCCATCATTTTACGGATGAGGAAACTTAGGTCTGGAGAAGTTGAATGATTTTCCTAAGGTCACACGGGAAGGCTAAGATTTGAATCAGGTTCGTCTGATTTCAAATCCAGTGTTCTTTCTGATATACTGCACTACATATGTTACCTCTCACTTTTAAATGCAGATGTTTGAGCAAACAAAGATGTGACATTCATATGTTTTAAAGAGTATCTTTGTCTCTTCCATGGTGCTTCTCTCCTGCAATACATCTGCAGGATTGCTTTCATAGAGTGAAAGACAGTCAGATCAAGCAGGCTTGGACTATCTTCACATGTAGGTAAGACCCATTATCAAAGGGCAGCAAAATAGCTCAGTGGATAGAATTCTGGGCCTGGAGTCAGGAAAAACTTAGTTTCATGAGTTCAACTCTGGCCTTAGACACTTACGAGCTGTGTGATCTTGGGCAAATCATTTAATCCTGCTTGCCTCAGTTTCCTTATCTGTAAAATGAGCTGAAGAAGGAAATGACAAACCACTTGAGGATCTTTGCCAAGAAAACCCCAAATGGGGTCATGAAGAGTGGGACCCAAATGAAAAAGACTGAACAATAACAATCAGTTTGCCAGGCTGCTGGTGAGATATTGATCTTTGTTCAAATCCTACCTGATTCTTACTCTCTATGTGGCCTTGGGCAAGTCACTTAACTTCCCTGGCCCTGGATTTCCTTATCCAGAAAATTAAGGAGGGTTGGATTAGAGGACCTTTCAGGTTCCCACCAGTTTTAGAGCTGTGATCCCCTGTAGCAAGCCACTGGCTGATAAATGTGAAAAATTCACAAATATGCCATTGTCTTTCTAAGTTGCCTGACTTTTATATCTTGAAGATCTATTTTAATTAATTAAAAAAATTTAAATTTTTATTTTTTGTTTTAGATCACCAATATTTTCCAATATATTTAACATGGCATTTATTTTACCCTAGGTACCAGATGTCACAAAATCCTTTTATGATAGTTGCTCTGAAAAAGGCCAAGTCACAGTGGTGGAGAAATCTTCAAACTGGTCAATCTACTTTGACACTCAGACCACAGCTAGTCTCCTAGGAAGGCAAAAGAGAGACCTCAGTACTTATAAACCATGGTTCATTTAGAATTTTGGAAGAAAGAGCAAGAAAGCATCAGACCAAACAGCAAACAAGTTTGGACAAGCCTTCCGGAGAAGGTATAGTACATCTAATTTCCCACTATTGCAAAAGACCGTATCACACCAAGTTCATGGTGGTTCAACGTGGTTCGAAGCTGTGGGTACATCATATGAAAAGATGGAGCTGTGAACTTTATTTTATTGACTTATGTAACAGAATAACTGCTGGTTCATAGTCCACTGATAGATAGGCCACAAAGAATGCTGAGTCACTTCATAAGAAAGCAGCTTATTAAAAGTCAAACTGCGTTCTCTGGAGAGCAAGGAGATGGCACATGTTGTGTGTGACTGGATTTGTGTAGCTTTGGGTGACCGCCTGGCTTTTAGAGTTTACGATCTGTTTTCAGTGGATGGACTGCCATGACCTCACCCAAAGTTCCTTTCGTTTTGTATTCGTTTCCCCACAAATATTTTGTGTTAAGGAAACCCATTTCTGTTCTTTATCCTTGAACCAACCATGTCTATTTAGATTTTTTTCCTTCTTTTTTACTTCACTGGAAAGAATTATGTTGCTAATTTTCTACTTGCCTTCCTTGTATAATTTTTTAATCCTGGGAGATATTGATTTGTATTTTGGCTGTTGAATACTTCTGTTTTCTGATATGGTCCCATGTGTTAGTTCCTTCATCTTTAGTAGGAGTCGTCTTTACCTACCCACAGAGGCAGTCATTGTCTAGATATCATTCTTCCCGAAAAATGTGCTTTGAATAATTTTCCTTCTGTTCTTTGCTATTGCTTTGATCTCTAATTTCTCTAGTTTAATTTTTTTTGGGGGGGTAGGCAATGGGGTTAAGTGACTTGCCCAGGGTCACACAGCCAGTAAATGTCAAGTGTCTGAGGCCATATTTGAACTGCCACCTAGCTGCCCCTCTTGTTTAATTTTGTAACTAGTATTAACTGCTATAGACATTATTCATTGCTTTCCGATAAATACTAATTAGGTTGTGTTTGTGAATAACCAAAAGCCTTCCTTGTTGTTATGCTCCATATGATAATCTCTTTATTTTTTTTATTATTATAGCTAACCTAATACTGCTGAGAGACAACATGACACCATGAAGAGAGAGAAGCTTTTCTAAGGTCAGAAAGATTTGGGTTCAAGTGCTATCACAAGGCTTCTAGGTGGTGCAGTGGATAGAGCACTGGATCTGGATTCAGAAAAATTCCAGTTCAAATGTGGCCTTGGAGTTTAGGGATGGGGCATCTGTAGCCTCCGAGGCCACGTGTGTTCCTCTAGGTCCTCAAGTGCTGCCCTTTGACTGAATCCAAACTTCACAGAACAAATCCCCTTAATGAAAGAATTTGTTCTGTAAAACTTGGACTCATTCAAAAGGCCATACCCAAGGACCTAGAAGGCCACGTGTGGCCTCAGGGACCTAGATTCCCCACCCCTGCTTGGACACTTACTAGCTGTGTGACTCTGAGCAAATCATTTCAGCTCTGGCTCAGTTTCTTCAACTGTAAAGTTGGGATAATAATAACACCTACCTCCCAAGGCTGTTGTGAGGATCAAATACAATATTTGTAAAGGGCTTAGCATAGTGCCTGGTACATAGTAACTCTTATTATGATAATGATGATAATATTCATGTGTCTTGGTGATTGACTTAACCTTTCAGCATTCTAGGAGACTCTAAAACTATAAGAAGCAGAGGAGGCATGGATCTACAGTGATAGAAGATGTTCCTTCAATGAGAATTCCCTATAATCAAGAAAATCACAGGTCTTCTCCAGCAAAATAAATATGAAGGAAGAGGTATAAGAAATACCTACAATGATACTATTTGTAAAAGGTACATATTTATTATTTGTTGTCCATGACTTCACTTGTCTATTTAGTGTGGTGATTGGTGGGGATACGTACTTATTTAGGAAGGTTTTTGTGGAAGTGAGATTTGCTAAGTGTCCACATTGACCGGATTGGTCTGGCATCACCATCTTTATTTCTTTTCAGGGAGAAGTAGATTTGGAAGTTTGGTCATGTATTTGTACATTTTAAATTGGTTCCTAGGAAACTTTAAGATATGTCAGTTAGTCAGGTTTAGGCAGGCCCTGAGCAAAGTTGTAAGGTAGGTGAAATTTGTCTTCATGGACTGAGCACTCCTCTGAGCACAAAGAAGGCATTCATTGAATACATGTTTATTGACTTCTTGATTTGACTAAGATCTCTCTTCAACCCCTTCCTTTATCTCAAGTAAAGCCAACAAGTACTTATTAGGTGCTTACTATGTGCCCTGCAATGTGTTAAGCATTGGGAATACAAATGTAAGCAAAAAGACAGTGCTTGCTTGCCCTTAAGGAGTTTCCATTCTAGTAGGATAAGACTATAAGTAAAAGCTGAAAGGAGGGAGGGATATATCTGAGTGGGAGCATAGCAGAGAATGTCTGAAGAGTCAAGAATAAAGCTGTGGCTGTCCTGAGCATCCTCCTTAAAATAGACGTTCTGGGAGAAATCAGCCAATCTGGAAGAGGCCTCACGATGGAGCGTACTTCTAATGTGAGAAGTCCAGAGGTAGATGAATTTCTAGGATGAAGAAGTTTCTTTGCTATGCATGGCAGAGAAGATCTAGAGAATCAGAAATGAAGCCTGAAGAGACTTTCTCTGAGTCCCAGTCTTTCTGTGTGTGCTTCTGTGTTTACCAGCTCCCATATTATGTAAACTCCTTGAGGACAGGAAGTCTTAGTTTTCTTCTTTGCATCTGCAATGCCTAGCATTGTCTCTTGAGCATATAGCCCGGCTGCCACCCTTTGTGACTGATCTCAGTTAGGGGTACATGCCAAATAATGCCTGGGGATACATATGGTTGGGCTCTTGCAGATTGTGTCATGAACAGAAGAAAGAGGGCTTGTGTCTTAAAGGGGCAGATTGCTTTAGCTTCTTGTCCTCAGCATTTCAGGAAAAAAAGTTTTGAAAACTAACTGCGAATTCTGAGAATTATAGTCCCAGAGGTAACTTTTTTTTTTCTTCCTGGTGTGGGAGAGCTCTGGGTAAGGGTCGATTTTCCCACAAAACCTGGAGCTTAATGAAACAATAGAAAAACAATTAGGTGAGGGAAATGAGACTTCAAAGGAGAGGAGCAAACATAGGCAGAGAGTGGAATGGAGGGCAGCCTGATTGCAGTCTCTTTGAATGGAGACTAAGACCGGGCTAGAACTTTCTCTGCTTGACATTCTAGTGTTTAAAAATAGTGGGGTTTGGGGCAGCTAGATGGCGCAGTGGATAAAGCTCCAGCCTTGGAGTCAAGAGGACCTGAGTTCAAATGTGACCTCAGACACTTGACACTTAACTAGCTGTATGACCCTGGGCAAGTCACTTAACCCCAATTGCCTCTCACACACACACACACACACACACACACACACACACACACACACACACACACAATTAGTGAGGTTGGCTGGAATAAACTGAGATATTTCATGGCAACTTTCTCTTTGAGAGATAATGTGAAAACTTCTAAAGGCATCTGGGTATCAAAGTGAATAGACTACTGGACCTGGAGCCAGGAAAACCTAAGTTGAAATCTAGCCTTAGACACTTACCAGCTGTATGACCATGGGCAAGTAAGTCACTTAATATATGCCTGCCTCAGTTTCCTCATCTTTAGGAGATAGTAAAAACACCACCTCCCAGTGTCATTGCTAGGATAAAAAGAAATAATGTTTGTAAAGTACTTTGCAAATCTTAAATCACTATATAAATGCTAGCCAATATTACTAGTCATTAGTAATTTATAGTCCAACTCTCATCGCCATACATTACTAATGAAAAAACCATAGCTTGGACCACTTGGACCTTTGTCAGCAAGGTGGTATCTTTGGTTTTCAGTATGCTGTCCAGATTCGCTATAACTTTCCTTCCAAGGAGCAAGCATCTTTTAATTTCATGGCTGCAGTCAAGAATATAAAATCTGACACTGCTTCTATTTCTTCTCCCTCTATCTGCCAGAAAGAGATGGGACTTGTTGCCATAATCTTAGTTTGTTTTTTTAACGTTAAGCTTCAAGCCAGCTTTTACACTCTTTTCTTTCACCCTTAGCGACAGGCTTTTTAATTCTTCTTCAATTTTTGCCATCAGAGTGGTATTTTCTTCATATTTGAGATTGTTGATATTTCTCCTGGCAATCTTAATTCTGCCTTTTGGTTCACCTACCCTGACATTTTGCATGATGTACTGTGTGTAGTAATTAAATAATTAAGGTGACAATATGCAGTCTTGTTGTACTCTTTCCCAATCTTAAAGCAATCAGTTATTCTATGTTTGGTACTAACTGTTGCTTCTTGACCCACATACAGGTTCCTAAGGAGACAAATAAGAAGATCTGGTACTCCCATCTTTTTGAGGACTTACCACATTTTGTTGTGATCCACACAGTCAAAGACTTTAGTATAAAGCAGAAGTAGATGTTTTTTTTTCTGGAATTTCCTTGCTTTCTCCACAATCCAGTGTATGTTGGCAATTTGGTCTCTAGTGTTTCTGTTTCTTTGAAAACCAGACTGCTCTTCTGGTAGTGCTTGGTTCACATATTGCTGAAGCCTAGCTTGCAGAATCTTAAGCATAACCTTGTTGAAGTGTGAAATGAGAGCAATGGTTCAACAATTTGATCATTTTTTGGCAGTGAAATGTAAGCTGATCTTTTCCAAATCAGTGGCCACTGTTGAGTTTTCCAAATTCACTGGCATATTGAGAACAACACTTTAACAGCATCATTTTTAGCATTTTGATATACCTTATCTGGAATTCTATCACCTCCACTAGCCTTATTATTAGCAATGCTTCCTAAGGCACCAGCAGTTCAAAGAAAGGTGTAACCCAGTCCTGGCTCATTGGAGATAATAAACTGAAGGAAGGCACTAGAATTAAAGCCTCTTGTAGTACGTTGGATATTTTTTAGCTAGGATTTTCAGGAAGCCAAGGAAGCCAGAGAAGGGATGGAGAGAATTCCAGCCATGGGAAACAACCAATGAAAATACCTGGAATTTGGAGAATAAATAAATATTTTTCCCCCCAAGAACAGCAGAGAGGCTAGCGTCACTGGATCTTAGAGTACATAGAGAAAAGTAAGGTGTAAGAAGATGGGCAAGATTCTCCTTGAGTTAGTCAACAGCAGTTTATTAAACACCTACTATGAGGCAGGAACTGTGCTAAGTACTGGAGAAGGGGTCCCAGTTATGAAGGGCTTCAAATGCTGAAAGATTTTCTGTATGATCCTGCAGGTGACAGGAAGCCAGTACAGTTTATTGAACAGGAGTAGGGGTGGTGGTGGTAGTAACATAGTCATATACTTTAAGAAGATCAAACTGACAGCTGAGTGGAGGATGAACTGGGATGGGGAAAGACTTGTTGCAGGGAATTTAACTAACAGACTATTGTAATAATCCAGGAATGAGGTAATAAAGGCCTAGAACAGGGCAGTAATGGTGTCAGAGGAGAAAAGGGGAGATAAGTGAAAGTTGTTAGGGAGATAGACTATTTTTTAATGAAATATCCTAAGACTATTCAATTTTTTTAAATTTCAGAATGCTCTAGAAATATTCTATGAAATAAATTTATTAAAAAACTGGCAAAACTGACTCCAGAGTTCTTCCTACTTAAACAATAATAATAAATCTGATTTATTTTAGGGGCATGGCTCTATTCTATAATAATTTACTGAATATAGTAGCTTGAAATTTTATCAAATAAGTTTACATGAACAGTCTGTAATACAGATTAGAGACAGGCTTTTAGACATTGGTATGAACTGTTAATAATATTTGCTGCCAAATTACTTTCAACATTTCCTTTAGGAGCCAATGTTTCACAACCACGTTTAACAGCCTAACTTTGTTTCCATGCAAGTGGTATGAAGGCAACGTAAGTTTATGTAGAAGAGAAATTGTATTTTCCACAGTAGCTTTATAGTTGACAGGAAAGAACACTGTCCTTTTTTGATGGTGCCGGCAGGTCAGTATTTATAAGGTTGTTGGCTCAGATTTAAAGTTGGAAGGGTCCAATCAATGGTAACATATTTCTCTCCCCTCTCCATGACCCTAGCTTGGAAAATTTATGTCCAGTATTCATTATCATTAGGTAATTATTGGGATTTCTTTGGG